ATATTAGCTCCAGGTTAAAACCCAGCTCAATTTTTGGTATTGTAAAGAGCTTAGCAACATTTTCCATTCAACTGAGCTGTAATTTGGAATTTGTGTTTCCAACGTTTAGAATACCGTGCTGCGTGGTATTTAGGTTTGTTCACCTCATAAATGAGGGTAGAATGAATGAAAACGTGGACCTATACATAGAGTGTTTCGCCAAAAGAGCTAGAACCCATTAAGACCAACAAATACCAATTTCTATACAAATCTGTTAAAAAATGTGGCAAAAATCATCAAAATACCGAATATCGGGAGGTACTGTGGACCTATAATTACAATGTTTCGCCACACGAACTGGGACTCATTATAACCTACAACTACCAATTTTCAGAGAAATCTGTGAAAACATGTGTCATAAATCATCAAAATACCGAATATCGGAAAATACCGTTATATGCGGACAATACCAAAACGTGGTCCTACACATACAATGTTTCGCCACATGAATTAGGACCCATTATGACTTACAAATACCAACTTTTAGACAAATCAGTGAAAAAATGTGGCAGAAATCATCAAAATACCGAATATCGGGAGGTACCGTTATATGGGGGCTATACCAAAAGGTGGACCTATAATTACAATGTTTCGCCACACGAACTAGGACCCATTTTGACCGACAAATACCAATTTTTAGACAAATCCGTGAAAAAATGTGGCAATAATAATCAAAATACCGAATATTGGGAGGTACCTTTATATGGGGGCTATACCAAAACGTGGACCAATATATCCCATTTTCAATGCTAACCATCCTAGACACAATAAAAATTGCTCTGCTAAATTTTGGCGCTCTAGGTAAATAATGTGGGCTGTATCGTGATTTCAACAGATAGACAGACAGACAGACAGACAGACTGACGGACATCGTTAAATCGACTTAGAATTTTATGCTGATTATGAATATATCATGGTACAATAATATCAAGGTAGGACTATGATACCATATGATTTTAATTTTTTCATTTTCTTGGCTTAATATGTCATCTTTTTTGTTTATGTATGTGTTTTCTTTTCAATAACAAAAAAATTGTTCGGAAAACATTCAAATTCGGGTGTTTTCAAAATGTTCATTTCAACGCAAGCATCGACAAAATCTAGAGTTTTTGTAGCGAAATAATCCTTTAGAGATTCATTCATTTATCGCGTTTTTTAATTATTTATTCAAAATAAATGCAACAAGTTGTTTGATTTTTTATTGTTTTGATACTAATTCTGACATTACAAGCCAAACAGGTAGACCTCTATACTTGCAATTTTTTCAAAGTTGACCTACCTTCATTGTACCATGATTATACCCTACACCATGGTACAATGAAGAGAAGGTAGGTCAACTTTGAAAAAATTGCAAGTATAGAGGTCTACCTGTTTGGCTTGTAATGTCAGAATTAGTATCAAAACAATAAAAAAATCAAACAACTTGTTGCATTTATTTTGAATAAATAATTGAAAATCGCGATAACTGAATGAAAGGTCAACACTTCTTTTCAAAATCATTTACTATATGTCTCTAAAGGATTATTTCGCTACAAAACTCTAGATTTTGTCGATGCATGCGTTGAAATGAACATTTTGAAAACACCCGAATTTGAATGTTTTCTGAACAATTTTTTTGTTATTAAAAAGAAAACACATACATAAACAAAACAAGATGACGTATTAGGCCAAGAAAATAAAAAAATTGAAATCATATGGTAGTTCTGCCCTACCTTGATATCATTGTACCATGCCCTACACTACATAGTGGACAGGGTATTATGTCTTTGTACATTTGTTTGTAACAGGGAGAAGGAAGCGAGATAGACCCATAGTTACTTCTGAGGATATTGATAAAATCACTTTCTGAGTCGATTTAGGCATGTCAGTCATTCCGCCCATCCGTCCGCCCATGTATTCTTTGCAAACAATATTTGTTTGACCCAAGGACGAACCCCATTGAAATTGGTGATAATGGGATCAGATTTAGGCATAGCTCCCATATATCTTCAACCGATTTCGGGTAAATTGTACACCAAATGGCCAATATAAGTCCTAATAACCTGAATTTTGGTACATCTGACCGAATTCAGTTTACAAGCAAGTACATCGAATCCGGAGAAAATCGGTTCAAATATAGCTATAGCTCCCATATATATGTTTCATCTGATTTGGGATTTAAGTCCTTATATTCGTAATATGCATTCGACAAACATGATATTTGGTACCGGATATCTTAAAGAGCTCTGAAATACATCCGCCAAATTTTGGATATAGATTCCATATATATCTTCAACCGATTTCGGGTTAATTGTGCACCAAATGACCAATATCACTCCAAATGACCTGAATTTTTGGTACATCCGACCAAATTCAGTCTAGAAGAAAGTACATCAAATTTGGTGAAAATCGGTTCAGATGTAGCTATAGCGCCCATATATATGTTTCATGCAATTTGGGGTTTCAAGTCCCTCACATGCGTAATATACACTCCACAACAATGATATTTGATACCGGACATCAGATACTTATCGAAAATACCTCTGCCAAATTTTATCGAGATCGGCTCAGATTTTTTATAGCTTCGACTTACATCTTCATCAAATGTTACGGTTATTGCTCAAAATATATGTAATATCAGCCCAAATTGAACTGATTTTTTCAAATTCAAATTAATTTGACCATTTGGTGAAACTTGGTCCGGAACATCTAAATATTGCTCCAATAAATATTTTTTAATATAATCCTTATCGACTTCATATCATGCACTATACATCAATATTATTTGGATCATAGTTGGTATGATCTACTTTATATAAATTCTCAATAAATTTTTTTTTGTTGCGGGAGCTCTACTAAATACCCATAGTGGTATATGGTAACATATATAGTCGGCTCCACCCGATGTTGAATTTTGCTTACTGGTTAATATTCGGGCTTTTTTGGGGCACATACATAGTTAGGAATAAATTGGGCGCCGTTAGTTACACCACGGCCATTTCATTTTATTCTAGTAGTAAACATGGTACAATGATATCAAGGTAGGGCTATGATACCATATGATTTCAATTTTTTTATTTTCTTGGCTTAATATGTCATCTTTATTTGTTTATGTATCTGGTTTCTTTTCAATAACAAAAAAATTGTTCAGAAAACATTCAAATTCGGATGTTTTCAAAATGTTTATTTCATCGTATGCATCGACAAAACCTAGAGTTTTTGTAGCGAAATAATCCTTTAGAGATATATAGAATCTGGTTTTGAAAAGAAGTGTTGACCTTTCATTCAGTTTTCGCGGTTTTCAATTATTTATTCAAAATAAATGCAACAAGTTGTTTGGTTTTTTATTGTTTTGATAGTAATTCTGACATTACAAGCCAAACAGGTAGACCTCTATGCTTGCAATTTTTTCAAAGTTGGCCTACCTTCTCTTCATTGTACCATGGTAGTAAATATTTATTTTTATGTTTGAGTACAGTAACCAAAAAAAAAAAAATGAACCCTTTCAAAATATAAACAAGTTAAAAAGCAGTAAGTTCGCCCGGCCGAACTTTGAATATCATCCAAAATCTTAAAAATACAGAAACAGAATATATTAGGCTCTATACGATGACGTGGACCTGCATTGGCAACTTTTGTCATGAGCCATTACAATGTTCAAATGTTAAATTTGAAAAAAATCGGTGAATAATCATCAAAATACCGAATATAGGGAGGTACTATTATATGGGGGCTATACGAAGACACAGACCTGCACAATTTCTGTCTTAGGCTGAAGTATCCATTACGCACTTCAAATACCAAATTTAAAATAATTCCGGTGAATAATGTCGCTAAAATCATCAAAATACCGAATATCAGGAGGCGTCGTTATATGGGGCTATACGAAGCCGTGAAACTGCACTTACCAATTTCTGTCATAGGCCGTAGTATCTGTTACGGACTTGAAATACCAAATTTGAAACATTTCCGGTGAATAATGTAGCCAATATCACCAAAATACCGAACATAAGGAGGTACCATTATATGGGGGTTAAACCAAAATGTTGACCTACATGACCCATTTTCAATACCAAAAGTCCTGCAGACATAATATACATTTTAGTAAAATTTTATTAATCTACTTCATTTCGTTCGAAAGCGAGAGTGATTTCCACAGATTTCCACATCGCTAAATCGACATAAAATTTTGTGCTGATCAAGAATATATATACCTTGTGGGGTTTTAAATGTATATTACGAGGTGTTACAATCGGAATGACAAACTTAATATATCCTCCATACTATGGTGGAGGGTATAAAAATTGACAATAATTTGCATATCATCGCTTTCCTACCTGCATAGAAGATTGTATATATGTTCTGATACTAAGCCAAAACTTTACATAACATTATTATCAAGTTTCTCCCAAAACTGCAGTTCTATTAAAATATATTTGTCATATACATTCAATTAACATATTCCAAAATCTGCAATTAAGAAGTAGTTTTATGTCGTGATAAATTGACTTATTCGCTTAGATTGTTGTACCTAAAGGTATACATCTGTCAGCACATCGATTTATACTTTCAAACTTGTTTTTCTTTTTTAAATTTCTAGCAACAATGATTTATTATGTCAGATGAATACTTGATGCAATGTGGCTAGACAACTAAGTTGCCTTTGTATATAAATTTCAATTTAAATAGTATTTTTATAAAAGTTATTGGTCGGAAATCGCTTTCTGTCCAAGAGATATCTTAGTAATGCATTAAACTCATTATTTTGTTATGAAAACACCCCACTGTGTCTAGATTATTAAAACATTTCCCCCCAATAAATGTGAAATTTTACAAAAAACAATTCCATATAAAATTTATTCCGCATAAAATTCAAAGCCTTATGCTTTGCAACTTTTAAGCATTTCTACGAAAGAAACTTCGCTTGGAAACCTAAGTCTCTGGGAATAATGTCTTCACTTCTGTTATCTTTGGCAACTTACCAATTTTATTTGGAAATTTTGGATTATCTTCAAACCATTCCTGCAGCGAATCCAAGATTGCCTCTTGTTCCTTATCCCCCAGCAATTCCATCTGTGAAACGTTGATTAAGCTATAGCTTATGATTTAATGTAAACTTTTGCTGTTGTAGAATTGTTAATTATTTCAATTTATTTTTTTATTGTTTGTTTGCTTTTTTGTTATTGCTTTTTTCTTTCTTTGTAAGCGTATTGTCGTATCGTAAATCTTCACAAACAAAAAGTCGTAAGCGCACCGATCGTCGAGTACATTTATACCCTCGCTTATCTCAATCGCAACTGATTGATATTGTGCTAGAGGTCCGAAGCATAGCGCCTCGGCCTATTATTTGTCTGTTTGTCTAACAGTCTCCAGAAAGAAAACCTGCTAGGCTATAACCGGTTTCAACATAGTGACGTCGTACTGTTAGCAAACAGTCATGACAATTCAATTAATGTAAATCCACCTGCACGCACGAACTCTGTTATTTACCCAACTCTGTTACGGACGAGGCAGCGGTGGCATTGAGTATCATTCATTCATTGATAACGGAACAATAACGACGAGAAGGCACAGTGGTTATAGTGATTTAAGAAACCAAAATAAAACAGAGACAAGTAAAATAATTAGAAAAACTGCAACAAAGTCAAACGAAATAACTTTTACATTTTTTTGTCGGAAATAGTAAAAAATTTTAGAAGAAGTTTAGATTTGTTTGAATTGGTCAGCTTTGACACGAATATATTGGCAACCCTATGCCTGAGTAGACGGTCATTTATATCACAGCTGATCATTTTGTTTATATTGCTGTTTACGTTTGTTTACAAACAAATAAACTGTGGTCTATACTTTGGACTTAATAAAATTAACGTGGATCTATAGCGATTTTCTTCGAATTTGAGGATTTACGCCTAATTGATTTCGGATTAAGATTGCGTAATATTGCTGTGTTGCTGTTGTTGGTTGCTGCTGTAATTGCCGTTGCCTTTCTTACATATTTACTCACTGAAGTTGTTGCTGGTTTTGCATTTCAATATGTCTAAATGTAATTACTAAATGTAAATCTTGTGAGGAATGCATTACAAAGACACGAGCCAGCATTTTATGTAAAGCCTGTAAATGTTGTATTCATATGTCATGTGCTGGTATTGATGAGCAATATCTTGGAGTTCTTAGATCGGTTAAGGCCTTTGCCTACATCTGTGCCTCTTGTGAACCCAATCTTAGTGGAAATTGCAGTACTTCTGGTGTTATTGACAAGATAAATAGTTTGAATGAGAGGTTGGATCGTTTTGTACTCAGTTATGAAAGCCAGCAGATTGCTCTTAAAACGGTTCTGGAGGATATAAAGAATGAAGTAAGCTCCTGTGTTTCTGAGATGCGATCTGATATCCAAAAGTGTGCTGAAAATGTTCAACGAGTTGGAAGGTCTGCTGCAACCAAATTCGTTGGACTTGAGAATGAGGACAATATTTTACACAAGCGCCTGAATTGATCTGATATTTTGATTGGAGGAGTTGGAAGACTTGGAAGCACCAGTTATTGCAATAGGTGGAAATTACTAGCCTCGACATCAACCAAGTCTGCTATATTAACTGAAAAAGCAAGTACTAGGTAAGTTTAATAAGGTATCGAATAGAGATTGTCTGATGAGGGAGTACTTCAAAACTCGTAACCTTAAAGTTTCTGATGTACTGGACATTGCTTGCAGTGACTTAAGTAATCGTGTGTATCTCAATGATAACTTTACTCCAGCGGCTGCTCATTTGAATGCCATTTGTAAGAAACTTCGTCAGCGAAAGGTTATAACGAAGTTTAAAGTTCTTAATACTGACAAACTTAGGGCTTGTCTTATGTTTACTGATGGCATAACATAACATAATTAAATTCTTCCATGTTCACGTATTTTATTTTGTATTAGAAAAGTTGTGATTTTAATGAATCTTGAATTGTTAAAGCATATTAATGAATTATTTATATATATATATATATGTATATATATATATTTATATATATATATATATATATATATATATATATATATATATATATATATATATATATATATATATATATATATATATATATATATATATATATATATATATATATATATATATATATATATATATATATATATATATATATATATATATATATATATATATATATATATATATATATATAAATAATTCATTAATATGCTTTAACAATTCAAGATTCATTAAAATCACAACTTTTCTAATACAAAATAAAATACGTGAACATGGAAGAATTTAATTATGTTATGTTATGCCATCAGTAAACATAAGACAAGCCCTAAGTTTGTCAGTATTAAGAACTTTAAACTTCGTTATAACCTTTCGCTGACGAAGTTTCTTACAAATGGCATTCAAATGAGCAGCCGCTGGAGTAAAGTTATCATTGAGATACACACGATTACTTAAGTCACTGCAAGCAATGTCCAGTACATCAGAAACTTTAAGGTTACGAGTTTTGAAGTACTCCCTCATCAGACAATCTCTATTCGATACCTTATTAAACTTACCTAGTACTTGCTTTTTCAGTTAATATAGCAGACTTGGTTGATGTCGAGGCTAGTAATTTCCACCTATTGCAATAACTGGTGCTTCCAAGTCTTCCAACTCCTCCAATCAAAATATCAGATCAATTCAGGCGCTTGTGTAAAATATTGTCCTCATTCTCAAGTCCAACGAATTTGGTTGCAGCAGACCTTCCAACTCGTTGAACATTTTCAGCACACTTTTGGATATCAGATCGCATCTCAGAAACACAGGAGCTTACTTCATTCTTTATATCCTCCAGAACCGTTTTAAGAGCAATCTGCTGGCTTTCATAACTGAGTACAAAACGATCCAACCTCTCATTCAAACTATTTATCTTGTCAATAACACCAGAAGTACTGCAATTTCTTCTAAGATTGGGTTCACAAGAGGCACAGATGTAGGCAAAGGCCTTAACCGATCTAAGAACTCCAAGATATTGCTCATCAATACCAGCACATGACATATGAATACAACATTTACAGGCTTTACATAAAATGCTGGCTCGTGTCTTTGTAATGGATTCCTCACAAGATTTACATTTAGTAATTACATTTAGACATATTGAAATGCAAAACCAGCAACAACTTCAGTGAGTAATTCGAAGAAATCGCTATAGATCCACGTTAATTTTATTAAGTCCAAAGTATAGACCACAGTTTATTTGTTTGTAAACAAACGTAAACAGCAATATAAACAAAATGATCAGCTGTGATATAAATGACCGTCTACTCAGGCATAGGGTTGCCAATATATTCGTGTCAAAGCTGACCAATTCAAACAAATCTAAACTTCTTCTAAAATTTTTTACTATTTCCGACAAAAAAATGTAAAAGTTATTTCGTTTGACTTTGTTGCAGTTTTTCTAATTATTTTACTTGTCTCTGTTTTATTTTGGTTTCTTAAATCACTATAACCACTGTGCCTTCTCGTCGTTATTGTTCCGTTATCAATGAATGAATGATACTCAATGCCACCGCTGCCTCGTCCGTAACAGAGTTGGGTAAATAACAGAGTTCGTGCGTGCAGGTGGATTTACATTAATTGAATTGTCATGACTGTTTGCTAACAGTACGACGTCACTATGTTGAAACCGGTTATAGCCTAGCAGGTTTTCTTTCTGGAGACTGTTAGACAAACAGACAAATAATAGGCCGAGGCGCTATGCTTCGGACCTCTAGCACAATATCAATCAGTTGCGATTGAGATAAGCGAGGGTATAAATGTACTCGACGATCGGTGCGCTTACGACTTTTTGTTTGTGAAGATTTACGATACGACAATACGCTTACAAAGAAAGAAAAAAGCAATAACAAAAAAGCAAACAAACAATAAAAAAATAAATTGAAATAATTAACAATTCTACAACAGCAAAAGTTTACATTAAATCATAAGCTATAGCTTAATCAACGTTTCACAGATGGAATTGCTGGGGGATAAGGAACAAGAGGCAATCTTGGATTCGCTGCAGGAATGGTTTGAAGATAATCCAAAATTTCCAAATAAAATTGGTAAGTTGCCAAAGATAACAGAAGTGAAGACATTATTCCCAGAGACTTAGGTTTCCAAGCGAAGTTTCTTTCGTAGAAATGCTTAAAAGTTGCAAAGCATAAGGCTTTGAATTTTATGCGGAATAAATTTTATATGGAATTGTTTTTTGTAAAATTTCACATTTATTGGGGGGAAATGTTTTAATAATCTAGACACAGTGGGGTGTTTTCATAACAAAATAATGAGTTTAATGCATTACTAAGATATCTCTTGGACAGAAAGCGATTTCCGACCAATAACTTTTATAAAAATACTATTTAAATTGAAATTTATATACAAAGGCAACTTAGTTGTCTAGCCACATTGCATCAAGTATTCATCTGACATAATAAATCATTGTTGCTAGAAATTTAAAAAAGAAAAACAAGTTTGAAAGTATAAATCGATGTGCTGACAGATGTATACCTTTAGGTACAACAATCTAAGCGAATAAGTCAATTTATCACGACATAAAACTACTTCTTAATTGCAGATTTTGGAATATGTTAATTGAATGTATATGACAAATATATTTTAATAGAACTGCAGTTTTGGGAGAAACTTGATAATAATGTTATGTAAAGTTTTGGCTTAGTATCAGAACATATATACAATCTTCTATGCAGGTAGGAAAGCGATGATATGCAAATTATATATATATATATATATATATATATATATATATATATATATATATATATATATATATATATATATATATATATATATATATATATATATATTTATATATATATATATATATATCGGAAGTTTGAATTGCTTCCTGGAGATATTAAAAAAATTATACGGTATAATGTATCTACCCCCTACTGGTGACCTTGCTGCATTTGAGGAACTTCACTCTGAGTTCTTTTCTAGGTACTTTAATATAGTTGTTGTTGGCGATTTTAACTGCAATTTATTTGATTTGCAAAAATCGTCGGCAGTTCGTTCAGTGTGTTTCAGATTGAATTTGTCGGTTTTGCACAACACTAAACCGACCCACTAGATGTTTCTCATGGTTCGTTTTCTTTGGTAGATTTTATGTTAGTCAGTGATTGTTCTATGGTCCATTGTTCTGACCAGGTAATTTTCCCTGCAATCTCGGATCACTCGCTCATTTTTGCTTCGCTAGATATGAGTGTAAGAGCACCTTGCCATTATATTGAATATCATGACTACCGAAATATAGAGTGGGAATTTTTTTTTCATATTTAT